AAAGATTCAAGCCGCTAACTGTCACATGAACTCGAAAGTTGAAGATAAAACTCGGTGAAAGCACTATTAAAGCGACATAAAATGGTATTTAGTAAGGGTCTTGAGGAATGCACTACGTTTAAAGCTGCTCTTACCCTTTGACATCGATCAAGGTCAGGGTTCCGACCAAGAAGACGTTTACCATATGCTGCCATCCCAGTGGTTGAACAAGAGCTTGAACGACTTCATATATTGGGAGTCATTGAACCGGTGTATTTCTTCGAGTGGGCTGAGCCGATAGTGGTGGTAAATTAGACTAATGGCGGTGTCTGTCTATGTGCTGATTACTCAACCAGGTTAAATGAAGCCCTAGAAGCTCATCAGTATCCATTAACCCAACCTGAAGATCTTCTTGCTAAACTGAATGGAGGTAAGCTCTTTTTAAAGTTGGATTTAGCGGAAGCTTATTTGCAAATTCATGTTGCTAATGAGTGTAAAGACTTGCTCACCATAAACACAGACAAGGGCCGATCCCGGTATCATCGACTAACTTTCGGAGTCAAGACATCACCATCCATATTTCAACAAGTAACTGATACTATACTACAGGATGTTCCAGGTGCTGCAACTTATCTGGATGATATGATAATTCTTGGAGTAGATAGAATAGACTCGGAAAAGAAGCTCGGCCAAGTGCTGTCGCAAATAGCCGAATATGAAATTCAGCTCTGTGAAGAGAAATGTACATTTTGTATGAACAATGTACGATACCTCGGATTTATAATCGAAAAAAGTTAATGATTAACTTCTAACTAAGTGACCGAACCGTCGTTTTCAAGGATAACTGCTACAATATTTCGCTGACAGGACTAACTCATGATATTCGATTCATGTATCATGTTTGGTGACATACTTGTCGTTCCGAAAATATTACGACACAATGTTCTGAGACAATTCTACATCAGTCATCTCGGCATCGAAGCTATGCTTACTGGCCTACAATGGATCAAGATGTCGAAACCAGACGCTGCAATTGTTCGTCGTGCCTGCAAGAAGCTAAAAGTTCAAAGTGTGAACGACAACAATGGGAAAAACCTAACAGTCACTGGGAGAGGCTGAAAGAAGATTTTGCCGGTCCAATACGAGGAAGAATGTACTTAGTCATAGTAAACACACAAAATGGCTACAAGTACATGCCGTGGCAAACTTAGTAGCAAGTGAAGCAATCAGCAAGTTATCTGAACTGTTTAGCCACTTTGGAGTTCCGAATACTTTAGTGACCGATAATGGCTCACAATACACTGCAGGATCATTCAAGCACCTCTGCGACATCAACTGAATTGTACCTATACACTCTCCTTCCCACCACCCTCAATCAAATGGACAAGTAGAGTGCTTTGTCGACACACTCAAACGAGCACTACTGAAAGGGGAAAAAGAAAAGATGAGTCAGGTAATTATGAACTTCTAAACAGCTTACAGAACTACTCCTAACCCTATCGTCCCAGATGGGAAATCCCCTGATGAAGCGATGTTCGGAAGAGGCATCCGAACTATATTCGACGCTATGTTGCCACCTGAGTCAATGGATGGACGCAGATAAATTCAGAATACCCGGAGACTTAACGTGGGTGATAAAGTGGTCGTCAAGTCACACATTAGGAAAAATCGTTGGGAAACCGGAGTCATTGAAAAGAGAATGGGAAATACTTGGTACAAAATGCAAGAGATATTCGGAGCGTGGATTAGACACATCGATTTAATACACAGAGAAAAAAACGACTCTAAACATGGTAGACAGTCGAGCGAATCCTCTGCTAGAGATAATTACAGATACTTTAACGGCAGGAACTCCGACAGACACTCATAGACGCTGGATACCAAGAAATTCCGAACGCCGCAGAAAAACAGTTATCAAGCTTCAAATGGACTCGAAGAAAATGTCTCATTTTTGGAAGTGGGGAGGTGTTGGGGAGATGCAAAAATCTCCAAGAAAAAGCCAAAAACTAAAACATTGAGAAGCGTCTTATTCAATCAGCATTCGCTAGAAAATTTGCCAGAAACATCTAGAAAGTAAAAAAAGTCACATGTCGAGTCTCTGATTCCACGATTACCTATACTGCTACTATGTTAAGTAGCGTTCTAAAATTTTCCGGAAACCTAAGTCCATCTAAACTACTATAAATACCCTAGATTTTCTGTACGTAAACGAAACTTTAATGCAAAGCGTTTTCTTTCATATTTCGCACCTTTCCTCTCGTGTTCAAGTCGCTGTGTAGATTCAGCCTGGGAGTTACTAGAAGAGCTTAGTAACTTAATCTAGCGTTATTTAGAAGACCTATCAATGTCGCAAATTAAATAGTCTGATTAGTAAAAAGTCTTATTTGTGTCTGTACGGTAGAATCAAAATAATACTTTTCAGGTGCTCCAAGCTTACGAAGTAGGATTCTCACCTTCGCAGAGTCATCATGATAAGAAAACTCAACTTCGAAAACGTCTCCACACCCTTTGAACCATGATTCAAATGTGACACCAGCATCAGGATCAAAATGAAACTCGCCCATTGAATTAATCAGTGCTTCGGTAGTTAAGCACCTTAATTCGAAAATACGTAGTGGATTTCCTTAAAAATTAACAACCTTTGTACCATCGTTTCGATAGTTTTCAACTGTGATGCTTCCGGTTGGTTCTTCATACCAACTTTTCTATCGGTTTTAAAAATTACCACTATATATATATATACTAGTAATATTTTAACGGGATTGTACTGTCTCTTATACTGAACTAATTTAAAATAAGATATTTCACTGGATTCTTCGTTACACTGTTTACTACTTATAAGTAGGTCACAGGTATAATTTCATCTTTGATCGCAATAATATATACTACTTGCAAATAGCCCATGGCTATGTGTAATTTTCAAGTATGCATTAAGATAGTTTAAGGGTTTGATCAAGATACATGTTCATGTTTCGAATGTTCAGACCACATAAAAAATTACTAAAATGGATGTAATGAAGAAAAAGACAAACAATCTTAAACAAATCTAAACGTATAAAAAACCTTGAAAGTTTGAAAGTGTATTTGAAGATAAAGATACTGACCAAATCAATAGGTATTGATATGATCTTACTCCATTCTCAGCATGATTGGTTCTTCAATAAACCTATTTCCGTCTTATTATTTGTCCAAGGCTTCCAGGTCATTTAAACGACAACTGATAAATAGTTGGGCAGAGATAAACCAATAGGATTTATGCATACTTTCTGGACACACATAGACTTATTGATTTGTACGTATTAATCAATAAGATTGGTAGTTGAAATGGAAATCCATTCAAATGAATGAAAAAGTGTTTAGGAATACAATTATCTTTTAGCACATACCATAAAACAGTGTGAAGGTGTATCACATTGTATCTAAGTTTCTTATTTGACGAATTAATATTTTCTCCAAATTTAGGGTATATTGATAACTAAGATTATTAACTAAGTGTCTCTGATGAGGAAACAAATTGTTCAGTTATACTTAAATTTTCTTTACGGAAATATCAAGTTACCAACAACGGGAAATTACACTTCCGTACTGGTAATTCAGTATATTGTTTTAACAGGTAAAACTATATATTCCTCACTGATTAAAATCGTTCAGTGTAGCTGATAAAGATGGGTTTTGTTGTAAATTTCAAAACTTTAGTATTTTATTTACTTAACCTTTGAACGAGACAAAAATTCAATGTCTATACACTGAATCGTTTTTAAAGTAACTAAATTCACTTATTGTTTATCATAGATGAACAATAAGATTTTCCAAACGACCTAATAATTTTGATATTTGATTAGTTTGAGTTCCGCCTGAAGCTCTTCTAGATTTACTGCCGGGCGCAAGTCCGGGTAAAGGAGGAGGGTTGAGCATAGGGTTAGCGACCCCATCCCGCAGAAAACTAACTCGCTAAAGAAACGCTTACCAGAAAAAATAATTCAAACCTTTTAAACTCTGCCCTGGGAGTTAGAAGGTCTTCATTTAGAAGAATTATGACGCTTCATGGTGTAAGCCGAGTTCCTTCGGAAGCCACGAGGCCGATGCCCCTTCTAACAACCAGAGCAAACATTTTTGTAGGTACATGGAACGTCCGAACAATGTGGGAGACCGGGAAGGCCAGTCAAATAGCAACGAAAATGAGGAGATACAACTTGTCAGTACTGGGAATCAGCGAAACCCACTGGACCCAAGCTGGACAACAAAGGCTAAATACGGAAGAGATGCTGCTATACTCCGATCACGAAGAGGAAAATGCTCAACACACTCAGGGAGTCGCTCTAATCTGTCCAAAGTAGCACGAAATGCACTTGTAGGACGGAAATCTCATGGATCCAGAATCATCAAAGCATCATTCAAAACAAAGAAGGAGGGGATCACAATGAATATTATCCAATGTTATGCACCCACCAATGATAGCAACGACGACATTAAAGATCAATTCTGTGAAAGGCTACAGTCAATCATAGAGAAGTGACCAAGAAAGGACCTCATCATTCTAATGGGAGATCTAAACTCCAAAGTCGGAATAGACAACACCGGATATGAAGATATTATGGGACGACATGGATTGACTGGGACAGAGAAACGAAAAGAGAGAAAGATTCGCATATCTATGTGCATTCAACAAATTGGTCATAGGGGGCACAATATTTCCACACAAGCGTATACACAAGGCTACATGGATCTCACCGGACCAAACTACAGAGAACCAGATAGATCATATCTCCATCAATAAAAAATTCCGAAGGACAATGGAAGATGTGAGATTCAGGAGGGGAGCTGATATAGATTCAGATCACCACCTTGTTGTGGCCAATTTAAAACTGAAGCTAAAAAGGAACTGGACAACTGAACAAACAGCATTACAAAGGTTCAATACAGCCTTCCTTCGAGATACTGACAAACTCAATGAATTCAAGATGGATCTCAACAACAGGTTCCAAACCTTACAGGATCTACTGAAAGAAGAAGAAACTACTATGGAGGACAACTGGAAAGGTATCAAAGAAACATTAACTTCAACGTGTCAAGAGGTTCTGGGCCTCAAGCAGTATCATCATAAGGAATGGATCTCTATAGAAACACTGGACAGGATCAAAGAAAGGAAGAACAAGAAGACAGCAATTAACAACAGCCGAATACGAGCAGAGAAAGTCCAAGCACAAGCTGAATACATAGAAGCAAACAAGCAAGTGAAGAGGAGCATTAGAACCGACAAGAAGAAGTACGTGGAAGAACTATCAACGACGGCAGAAAAAGCTGTTAGAGAAGGAAATATGAAACAGCTTTACGATACAACGAAGAAACTAGCAGGGAAATATAGTAAACCAGACAGACCGGTAAAGGACAAAGAAGGTAGGCCAATCACTGAAATTCAACAACAGCGGAACAGATAGATAGAATACTTCGAGGAACTCATGAATAGGCCGGCTCCAACGAATCCACCGGACATCGAAGCAACACACACAAATCTTCCTATGTATGTCAATCCACCAACGACGGAACAAATCAGAATGGCCATCAGACAAATCAAGAGAGGGAAAGCAGCAGGACCCGACAACATACCAGCTGAAGCACTGAAGTCAGACATCGAAGTAACTACAAACATGCTTCACCTTCTGTTCAGAAAGATTTGGGAGGAGGAACAAGTGCCGATGGACTGGAAAGAAGGACACCTCGTCAAGATTCCAAAGAAAAGACATCTGAGCAAATGTGAAAACTACAGAGGCATTACACAATTGTCTGTACAAGAGAAAGTCTGTAACAGAGTGTTGCTGAACCGGATGAAAGACGCAGTAGACAGCCAACTTCGAGATCAACAAGCTGGATTCTGTAAGGATCGGTCGTGCACAGACCAAATGAAGACATTACGGATCATCGTCGAACAACCAGTTGAGTGGAACTCGTCACTATACATCAACTTCATTGATTATGAAAAGGCATTTGACAGTGTAGATAGGAGAACGTTATGGAAACTTCTTCGACACTACGGAGTTTCTGAGAAGATTGTCAACATTATTCGGAACTAATACGACGGACTACAGTGCAAAGTAGTGCATGGAGGACAGCTGACAGATGCATTCCAAGTAGGGACCGGAGTCAGACAAGGCTGTCTACTCTCTCTTTCTCTCTTCCTCTTTTTCTGGTGGTCGAGTGGATTATGAAGACTTCGACATCTGAGGAAAAACATGGCATACAATGAACAGACCAGAACCAATTAAACCATTTAGACTTCGCAGATGACCTAGCCCTCCTATCGCATACACACAAGAACAAATTCAGATAAAGACAACTAGTGTAGCAGTAGTCTCTGCATCAGTAGGCCTCAACATACACAAGGGGAAAACCAAGGTCCTCAGATTCAAAACGGAGAACAGCAATCCAATCACTCTTGATGGTGAAACTCTGGAAGATGTAGAATCCTTCACATACATGGGAAGATTCATCGATGAACAAGGAGGTTGAGATGCAGACGTAAAGGCGAGGATTGGAAAAGCAAGGGCCTCACTCCTTCAATTGAAGAACATATGATACTCAAAACAACCGTCAACCAATATCGAAGTCACAATCTTCAATACGACCATCAAGGCAGTTCTACTGTATGGAGCTGAAACTTCGAGAACTACAACAACCACCATCAAGAAGGTATAAGTATTTATAAATAGGTGTCTACGCAAGATACTCAGCATCCATTGGCCCGATACCATCAGCAACAGCCTTCTCTAGGAGAGAACGAACCAGCTTTCAGCTCAAGAAGAAATTAGGAAAAGATGATGAAAATGGATAGGACATACATTACGCAGATCATCAAACTGCATCACGAGACAAGCCCTAACTTGGAATCCTGAAGGGAAGCTGAAAAGAGGAAGGCCAAAGGATACATTACGTCGGGAAACAGAAGCAGACATGAAAAAGATGTATAACAGCTGGAAAGGATTGCCCACGACAGGGTTGGATGGAGAATGCTGGTGAGCGACCTATGCTCCTTCACGAGGAGCAACAGGCGTCCATGGTAACCATGTTGATTAGTTTGAAGTTGAATGTTATCAAATCAAAAAGAATACGGTCAAAATGAAATTATTTTAAAAGAATAAACTACGGCGTTGAAACTAATTAAACAAAAAACAACAGGAATACTCATATCTAGTAAATTTAAATATTTTTTCAGAAAACTGAATATCAAATAATTTAGAAGAACAGTTTTAAGACCACTGTTACCAGACCTAAAATTCAAGACAGGATATATCATCTCAATTCATTTGGTGTTGTTTGCTTGTATCTTCCCATTGTTGTTTAGGACTGAAATTGATCATTCTCGTGTTGGCATATGTACATCCTGTGTGAATTGCCTCTATGTTGCCTCAAGTCACAAGCAATCTAACCAAAGATGGATAATGATCAACAATGAAATTCAGGACGCTCGTTTCGTCCTATTGGGGACTCATCAGCTGGATGTGCCTGTATCTCAGAGTTGAATGTTCACTCCGGGAATCAAACCCAGTACCGTCTGCTTCAAACGCCATCACGTTATCCACTTAGCTACTGAGTCCCGATAGCCCCTTGCTTCACAGTGGAGTGAAGTTTAAATTCACTCGGTGTTGTTTGTTTGTATTTTCCCATTTTTGTTTAGGACTGTAATTGATCATCTCATCAATTAACTTGGCTCACTGAATAAATTGTATAATTATATGGAAATGTTTCATCAAGACATTTAGTCAACCAGGAAACATGTTATTATGCGTTACCGATTTGACAAGTGATTGAAAGTATTTATACTACAGAATGAACTATCGTGTCACTAAAAATATGATACAGATTATCTTACCTGTAATTATGATTCTATAAGTGTTTTTCTTGTTATTTTACTATTGGAGAGATCATTGATTAAGAAAATCTCTATTATAACTACAGAAAACTATTTTACTTTATTTAATAAGAAATATTGAACATACTTTTTAACTCATTGACTGAAATGACTGGTTTACAACTTTTTTAAAAAAAATATATTGTATTTCTTAGTTACTTCGATTTGATTGAAAGTTAACTACAAATTAATCAAAGATATCAATAATTAGATACTAATAAATAAACTATATTAAGGTTTTGAAATTTATGTATGATAAACGGACTTTTAAAATTAAACAAGTTTTCCTAGTAATGTTTTTTTCATTTGTTTATGATTATTGACTAATAATGAATACCAGAAGGGGTTTTGTGGAGATTTTAGAAATTTCAATAGTTGAATTCATTGGTCATGAGACCACCATGGAAAACCTGGATGCACTGGACGGTCGTTTTGTCCTAGTATGGAACTCCTCGGCGGTGCGCATCCACGGTCCCATCACCCGTAAGATTCGAACCTAGTGGAATCCAACCAGGTCTGTTGTGAGGTATCAGCTCACTAAAGACATGTACGCTGACGCAATTCCGTGGATTAGTTGAAGTTAGATAGCAACACCGTTGGATGCCAGCTCAGTGGTCTAGTGGTTAAGCGCTCGCGCGCGAGACTGGTAGGTCCTGGGATCGAAACTCGTGGGGTGCGGGATCGTGGATACGCACCGCTGAGGAGTCCCATACTAGGACGAAACGGCCGTCTAATGCTTCCAGATTTTCCATGGTGGTCTAGCTTAAATTGACTAATGATTTCAACTATTAATAATGAATACTTATAATTGTTACCCGTTAGATATATTTCTTTCATTTCATCTAGTTGTTTGTACAAATGAATAAGTATGAAATCGGGGAAATTCTTGATTATTTTCTTATTCGAATATGTGTCATACATCAATTGCTGTGTTGTTCGTTCGTAACTTTATCATACAACTTGTCTAGATGTACAATTATTTACCATTCAACACTTTACACTAGTGTTTTTAAACAATTTTAAAATGTTTTGTTATTTAATCATGTTTAGCAAAATAAACCAAAGATATGTGTTTATTTTCTTCAGTAGAGTTCACATCTATTGCAAAACATTGACATCATAATACGAACTTTACATTATGAATTAAACATATTTGTTCGTTGTATGTAATACCATATATATGAATATGAACTATTGGTTAACAACTACCCCATGTTAGTTGTTGATTGAAATGAAATTTATATTTAACCTAGTTTAAATAATAATTGAGACTTAGGTCAGTAGTTTGAGTGATAAACTATTCCACATGTATTATATTTTAAGACTTAGCTAACTTAAGTTTTTATAAGCAGTTGTTAAGATGATCATTCAAAATAAGCAATTTTCAACACAAGTGCGTACATTTAAAAAGCACTCATTATTTGTACTTGTTAGCCACAACTTAAAATACTTTTAGTGGTTTGTTAATGATCAAATACACACAAAGTACAATAATGTGACTAGTAGATGTATCGATGTGTAGAGAAAAATATATACAACATTGTTCGTAATTTGTTTTTTTGTTCTTTCTTATTCATAATTCTGATATGTATGATTTTCTAGGTGAGCACACGAGATAAACAATGCAAAATATGTTAGCTGTTATTTTAACTGCATCCTTTCAAAATACCAAAATTTTCTTTATTCCATATGTAACAAACATTCAGAAAAGTTTCTACGATCTTGCTTGCATTATAAAAACAACAGCAACATAAAACTTCTATTAAACTGTATAGTTTGTATCAGGCAACAATCTTAGTTAGATAACCGCTGTAAACAAGTGAGGATCGAACAGCTGTTTCGTCCGGGTATGCCGTTCCTCAATGGTGCGCATACGTAATCATACCAGACATCAAAACCCCTACCTATAGGCCTCATGGCGATTGCTGATTCAAATTCCAATGATTTATATTTATATTCCAATGTTATTGATGTCTAATTGTCTGATATATAACACCGTTGAACTCCACTAGACACCGCTTCTCACCATAATCCTAGGAATTACCTCTTGATATTCCTTTGTACAAAACTTTCATTTTATTTATTTGTTTTCGATTTATAGGCTACATTTCAGGAAGTTTTTTGACAAATCTTGATAGAGAATCTGAAAGACTAAGTTACATATTACTAAATAATTTAAGAAATAATCAAATGGTATTGCGTAGAGTGTTTAGGTAGTTTTTACAATGACATCGTAGCGATTGATAAACCGTTGATATAAGTCCTTCAATAAATCTTCATCACCTGCTATTTGCCACCGTGAGTTTAGTTAGGTAAACTAGTTTGATGTAGACTATCAAGCACCAACACCATCTTGGCATCTCACTGTGCACTTTACCTTGCTTTTATCTGCTTCCCTCACAGGAAAAGTCATTTTGCATCATCTTTAACCAAATGCAAAACCTGTTTAAAGCTTGATA